CCCTTTCCACCCCCTCCCTTTCGTAAAAAAAAAATATACACATAAATATGTATATTAAAATTTTTTCCTTTCATCAACAAAAAAAAAACAATAATTTGATTTATTTTCTCTATGACGCTTCAAACAAAATAAATTATTATTATTATTATTATTTATTATATTATTTAAATAATTTCAAACCGTCAAAAGAAATTAATTTTTTTTTTTTTTATAAAGTTTCGAGTGAAACTTTTCTTTTTAATGAAAAAATTTTCCTTTTTTTAAAAACATAAAAAAACATAAAAAAAATTTTAACGTTATTGATATTATCGTTTTGAATTATATAACAAAAATGTTTTATTACAAAACATAATTTCCGTTAAATTATTTAGTACCGTTATTATTATTGTTATTGTTGTGATTGTTGTTGTTGTTGTTGTTATTGTTTTTCATTTTTTTATTGAATTTTTTTTTACGCGATCGTAATAATAAAAAAAAAAAATTGCTGTCGTTGTTGTCGTTCTTGTTTTTTTTTTAAATCGTTCGTAAATGTTGTTTCTACGATAATTTTTTAATGCTTGCCTAAGGTTTAAACTGTTTTTATTAATATTAACTTTTACGACGACGACATTTTTTTTTTTTTTTAAACATTTGATTTTATCGTCCCTTTTGTTTTTTTAAAAAAAAAAAAAAAATTATTTCAAAGTTTAAAACGGTTGATTAATTAGCAAACACGCACAAACATACGCTCACTCGCTTAAAGTGGGGAGAAGAAAAAAATTTTTGTTTACGACAAAATAATTCGTTTGTTTTCCGTATAGAGCGCAGCACTTTACAAATTTTAAATTTTCAAAATGGCGGAATCGGAAAAAAAAAAAAAAACAATAAAGACAAACAAACAAAACGGAAATCGTCGTTTCGTTCGTATGCGAAATGAATAATAAAATTACACGGTCGAAACTTTATACCACGCAAAAAAAAATACATAAATAAATACATAAAAAAAATTATTATTATTATTATTATTATTATTATTATTATTATTATTATTATTATTATTATTATTTCGTTCATATCCTTTTAATAAGAATAATAATAATAATAATTCAATCGTCATTCCAAAACATTTTTTTTTTTTTTGCTTAATATCGAAAACTTTTAATTTATTAAGAAAAAGTATGTAAAATTTAATAATAATAATAATAAGGTGCGAATTTCAATGCCGTGGCGGTAGAATAATTAAATTCTTCTTTTATTTATTATTATTATCATTGACCTTATTTTTTTTTATCAACAATTTAAAACCGTGTGTAAATTTTTTTTTTTGCAAATTCACGATTTAGAAAAAAATTTAAAATACAAAAAACGAAAAAAAAAAAAAAAAAGAAAATGGCGTCCATTTCCTTAATATTTAAATTTTTTTTTTTTCTAGCAAATTCAAGGTTGTAACGACGATTTCACGTTTTACGAAAAAAACAACAACAACAACAACCGGAAATTATTAAATTTTCGTTTGTTAATTCTAGTTCAAAGTCACACGAAAAAAAGAATTTTTTGTTTTAATAAACATATAAATAAATAAATAAATAAATAAACGTCGTGTTAGGAATAATAATGATAATATTACGCTTAATAAAATCTACAAAAAAAATTTTATACCACGACGACAAACCGATAATTTTTACTTTTTAAAAGTTGGTAGCACTTATTAAATAATTTCCTACACCCCTCCCCTTACTCCTCCTGCCACTTCCCCTCCCCCGACATATTTTTTTAATAAAATCTAAATAAAATTTTTAAAAAACCCGCGTCAAAAATAAGGTTAAACATACGAATCGATTAATTAATTAATTAATTAATTAACATAATTTATTTATTATTCGTTTAATTAAAAATTAATTTATACGAATTCGTTTTCGTTACCATTTCTAATCTTTGACCTTTTGTTTCCCTTTAATAAACTCATTTTAATTTTGTGCTTACGTTCGCTTGAATAATAATAATAATTTAATTAAATGACACTCGATACTTTTTTTTTTTTGCTTTTCGGTTTTTGTTGTTGTTTCTAATTATTTGGCTTTTTTTGGGGAGGGGAAGAGGGGGAAAGGGGAAAGAGGGGGGGAATTTTTTCTCAGGGTTGATTAAAAACCGAAAAAAAAAATCTCTTCCTCTCTTTTACTTTTCAAAAAAATTTTTACACGTTTCCGTAATAATAATTATTATTATTATGTCTTTTACCTTGGTTTAGCCTGTTGTACGCACCCGCACGCACACACACACGCACACACTCACGCAAAAAATTATTATTTTGCCCTAAAGACGATGTACGTTACGAAAGTATAACCGAAAAAATCTTTTTTTGATTAAATTTTATCCATGTTTAAAAAATAATATTAATAATAATAATAATAATAATAATAATAATAATAATAATAATAATAATAATAATAATAATAATAATAATAATAATAATAATTTATCGACGACAAACGTAAACGTCGGGAAAAATCCGCGTTTTTTTAATTTACAAAAAAAAAAAAAAATCCATTATTATTATTATTTTTTTTTTTTTCCAAAAAAAACTTGATTTTACTGTATTTGTAATCGACTAATCGTTTAATATGCCTTTTGGGTTTATTCCATTACGAACGAACGAACAAAAAAAAAAAATTTCAAGTTTTGAAAAATAAATTAATTATAATTCTTCTTTTACACGATTTTAAATTTTCATTGACGTCAATAGAAATTTATTATTATTATTATTATTATTATTATTATTATTATTATTATCATCATCGTCGTCGTAGTCGTCATCGGTAATACTACTCCGGTTCAAAAAACCGAGAGTTGTTGGGAAAATTACAAGAAAAAAATTTTTTTTTTATATATTACGTTCGCACATCGTAAAAATTCAAACTATAATAATAATAATAAAAACCTGGATTTGTTAAATAAAAAAAAATAAACCTGGAAAATTAATGACGTCATAAACGACCGTGACTGAAGTTCAAGTTTGATGTTAATCAAAACCTGGATTTTTTTTTTTTTATAAGATAAACTTTTAAGTTTTCCTTCGTCAATGGAAAACAAAAAATTAAATGTGACGTGAGGATATGGTAAACGATTAATCGATAACGGGTACCCGATTATTATTATTATTATTATTATTATTATTATTATTATTATTATTATTATTATTATTATTATCCACCATTAAACACGACAAGGCTACTTGTCGGAGTTTTTTAAGTATTTATCCGAGGTTTCTACCCGATTCCTTAGGGACAAATACTCGAATTTCGGTGGTGCCACTTATTATAAGATAGCACCACATCAATTCTTGAAGGTCTTCCTGAGTCCGTCTTTTTTTCGATGGGAACGATTTGTCTCCTGAACTGGGCTCCAGTGACTAACATCTTTGGAGTGGCCAGGGTCAGAAGCAGTGAAATTCACGTTCTCGTCGAGCTGCCTCAGGTCGACAGTAGAACAAGATTTGTTTTTTGGTTCTTACTTTGTCTTGTTCTCATTTTTTTTTGCTCTTTTTAAGCCAACGGCACGTGGCGTTCTCAAACGGTCACCCATCCAAGTTTGCACCACGCCCGATGCTGCTTAACTTCGGTGATCGTACGGGAACCGGTGTGACCAGCACGCTATGGCCGTTGGCTTTTATTATTATTATTATTATTATTAT